CTTGGATTTATGTTAACTAATATATGGCATGAACTAACACATGTAGATATGGGTTGTAACAAAATCGTTCTATTGGGTAAATTTATAGGTCGGAATATGAGCGATCGTTCTATGAAAATCATTGACGGCGAAGAACTTTGTGTTTCTTATCCATGGGTTAGTTTGTATTTCGAAGAGTTTATTGAAAATTTATCACATGTTCTGACAACTGATTAAGCTAAAAAGAAAACAACGGGCAAACTCCCACCTTATACGGCGCTTGAATTCCCATTTTTGTTCAATGTATGAATGGTGGAAGTGTTTAATGATTTTCGTCAATTTTCAAGATATGATGATCGTGGGCATATATTTAGAATTTGAAGTTTTGGTTTTCAAAATCTCCCAAAAATTAAATTAATTCTATAAACTAACAAGTATTATAATTTTGTTTTTTAAAAAAAATTCCAAAACTTATGGCGAAACGCCTACATAATCTCTTATTTAGTTTGACTTAAATCTGAAGTTGAACAAGCAAACACCCCTCAATAACACTCGCGGCCTAAAGACAAATTTTAATAATGGGTCTTTAATAATTGCATTGATAAGAAAATTGAAGTTAATAAGATATTAGCCATGTTTTATAATGGTTACCTTAGATCTTATTGTAAAAAATATTATTTACCAATTTGAATATTTGAATAGCTTAATTTAAAATTATAAAATATTTTTATTTTAAAAAAATAGACAGTCATCTTTCTATTTTTATAGGGAGTTTGTACCTCTTTTTCTTATAAACTTTTTCTAAGCAAAAATAAGATGAAAAATGCAAAAGTAAAAATATTTCGGGTCCCAAATTTAGGGAACCTAAAGCAAAGACTTTAATTGTCTCCTCCTTGAGTCACCTCTATGAACCAATGTAGTTGTAAATCAACCTTTGATGCCTTAATTGGGCGACTATACGTGTTCTGTAACAAATAAAGTATGGAGTACGAAGAATAAAGTGATTAACAATAAAATTGGAAAGGCAGTGTGGATGTCATGCATCAAATGTAATTTCCTTCCGTCTCATTTTACGTGAATCGATTTGATATACGAGATTCAAACTATTGTATCTAATTTTTTTATGTGAATTGGGACATAAAAATTTTAAATTTTTGGATAAAATATACATATTTAAAAATTATATAAAATTATTATAAATCACAATATTAACAATTTAAAACATTAAAATGGTATTTAAAAGGTTACAATAAAAAAATTATTAAATTTTTTCAAATAGTAATTACGTCACATAAAATGAGACAGATGAGTAATACTAAAAAAGCTAATGAATATCTCAATTATTTAGTACTTTAGTTGGACATAAAATGTGTACCTTCGATAATGGATGGTTGATAAGGCCATAGGGAGGCAGTGTGTTTAATGTGTGGTGTTGACAACACACAATATGATTTGGAGTGTTGTAATTTTTTGACGGAAAATTTTGTTCATATATTCCCAAAAAGATGAATTAATAATCTTTATTATCATTTCACCAATTTCCTATTTTATTTATGAATCTGAATTATCACCAAATGTTATTATTAGCGCTTAATTGCATGTATAAGCTTACCAAATTCTAAAATCGTTTCAAATACTTGAATATGATCAAATTTAAGGTTTCCTTCATAATACTTTGTACATCATTTTGAGAAAGGACTGCGATTAATGTTATATTCAACGAATCAGGAAATTTCCGAAATATTTTATAAAAAAATATATATTTCGTACTCTGCACAATTTAGGACAGCTCGTTTTACTTCCGGATTAGACACAAATCACTAGCTTTAAACAACGGTGATTAACATAGTGCTTGGGAAAAGCAAGTTTTTAGTAATAAAAAAAAGAGTGTAATTAACATTAGCAAATTTTAAGTAATTAAAAAAGATGAATTGAATGGTTGGAAAACTTTAATTTTCTAAAAGCTGTTTGCTTATGAGAAGACACTTCTTATTGTTTCCCACTATTTGATTTTAGGTTTAATACTTGGCCATATAAAAGCAAGATTCCTCATCATTATTTGTTAGAAAGTAGGATTTAAAATCTACACTCTAAAGCCACGTATGCTAGTCATGTTTATAATGATATAAATACGCTCAGGCAAGCTCTGGAAATTAAAAAAGTTTATCTATAATAGGAATTTAGGAAGCATGCATTCTGATATAATCTTTTATTCTCATTTCGTTAGAATAATTATACCAAAAGAAGCCGTGAATGGTACCAAACTACTACCATTGATAAGGTTGTGGCATTAAACATCCTTCAGCTGTATATTATATTTCTAGCTAGTAACTTAGTTTTATTCTCTTAAATCTTCTCCCTTTATATGGACAATTTACAACTTCTGAATTTAATTATGCTAATGTATGGATTAGTAATAAAGAGTTTAAGTTATTTTGGGTATAGTTATTCCATCTTCTACCTAATAAAAAAATACATAAATTAACTCATAGCTTATATATGTTTTATTTACGTGGGATTATAAAATGATAATCAAGCACCGTACTTGACTACTTGGTGTGCTAAATTTTAAATAAAGTAACTAAAAAGCTATCAAATATGATATTAGCGGATTCAACTCCCCTCGATTTCCTAGTCTCTCCATTTCTCTAAGTCCATACTTGGATTGGAGACACTTGTTATGATTAAAAATTAATATATGAGATTTAATTAAATAAAATAAAGCTCTAACCATAGTTAAAATATTTAATTTCTTCTTTTATTTTTTCCCAAATAATCTCTTTTGTCTCTCTTAGTGTAGAACTTCCTATAATTCGTTAGGCAACATACATTTATACACAGTTAACTCCCACTAACTAACAACTAACCCACATAATTAACTGAAGTTATCCCTAACTAATTGTATAACTAACCTACGTCATTATTCCTCTTAACACTCCCCCTCAAGATGTGTAGTGAGAAGAGATTGAACACTCCCAACTTGGACAATAAGAAATCATGTTGTGATTTACCAAGTCATTTTGTGAGAATGTCAGCTAGCTGCAGGTTTGATGGTACATGAACTGTTTGAATAGAACCCTCATGCACCTTCTCTCTGATGAAGTGACAATCAATTTCTATGTGCTTAATGCGCTCATGATATACGGGATTTGCTGTTATTTGAATTGTTGCCTTACTGTCGCAGAATAACTTTACTAGCACTTCTACATCAAAATTCAGCTCCTTGAACAACCCTACTAACCAGACTATCTCTGCCATGGCATTTGCCATGCTTTTATACTCTGCGCCTGCTGAGCTCCTTGAAATGGCGTTCTGCTTCTTTGATTTCCAAGAGATCAAAGAATTTCTCAGCTTCACTACAAAACCACTGACTGACTTCCTTGCCATTGGTCAAGTTGCCCAATCTGCATCATAATGCACTGTGAGTTGTGATGAAACCTTAGTTGATAATAGTATTCTCAGCCCTGGTGCATTCTTTAGATACCTTACCACCCTTAGAGCTCCTTCCATGTGGGATTTCTTTGGTTTGTGCGTGAATTGACTTAAATTCTGCACAGCATAAGCTATGTCTGATCTGGTCATTATAAGGTATAACAACTTTCCTACCAGCTCCTCATAAATGGTAGGATCAGGCAAAAATTCATCTGATAGGTACTACAGGTTCCTCCTTCATCAAAATCCAGACTAGTAAGCCTTTGATTCACCTCTAATGGTGTGCCTGCTGGCTTAGATCTGGCTAGACCAAGATCACTGATCAAGTCAAGAGCAAAATTCCTTTGGCTGGCTAGAATTCCCTGTTTACTTCTAGCAATTTCAAGACCAAAGAAGTACTTTATCTCCCCCAGGTCCTTGATCTTGAAATGTTGTTGCAGCATGAGTTTAGTAGCCTCTATCATGATAGGATTGGATCCAGTGATCACAAGATCATCAACATACACTAGCACAAGGACTTGATCATGACCAGAGTGCTTACTAAAGAGAGAATAATTATGCAGACTTTGAACAAAATCAGAGGCATTTAAGGCCTCACAAAGTTTGAGATTCTATTGTCTAGAGGCTTGCTTGAGGTCATAGAGTGATTTTTGAAGCTTGCATACCTGGGAGGACTCCCCTCTGGCTAACAAGGCCAGGTGGTGGAATCATATAGACATCCTCCACCAAATCTCCTTGCAAGAAGGCATTGAAACATCCATTTGATGGAGCTTCCATCTATGCATGGCAGCTAGAGATAAGACTTCTCGTACAATCACCACCTTAACCACAGGAGAGAAGGTTTCCTGATAATCTAGGTCTTCCTGCTGCGTGTAGCCCTTGGCCACCAACCTTGTCTTGTACCTTTCCACCTCTCACTGAGCATTATATTTGACTTTAAAGACCCACTTGCAACCTATTGCCCTTTTTCCTGTATCCACCAAGCACCAAGTGTTGTTGTCATTCAGGGCCTTCAAGTCTTGATCCATAGCCTCAATCTACTTAGGATCATGCATGGCCTCAGCATAAGAAGTTGGTTCTTTGACTGCTGAAAAATTGCACACTGACTTGAAGTAGGAGTCTGACAAAGAAGTATAAGACATATAGGAGGAAATAGGATACATGGAAGTTGAACTTGCAGTAGAGGTTCCAGAAGACTTTCCTGTAGGCACTTGATGCACAAAACATGAAGCCAACCTGGTGTGTTTGGAAGGCCTGGAGGATCTCCTGGCAGCAACAGGTGATGCATCAGTATTTGTAATGCTTGTTGTAGGTGTAGCAGTTGGTGATTCTATAGGACCAGCTGGCTCACTATGTACTAAAGCAGGATGAGTCCCTGGTGAACATTTAACTAAAATTTCAACTGGTTCAACCATGTTGGGAGGGCTAACACTGTGATCAACTTGTGCATTATTTGTGACAGGAATGGACACAAAGAATTTTGTATCTGATGTTTGAGATGAAGGAACTGGTTCAAATGTGCCCCTTGTAGCAGGAGAGCTAAAAGGAAATACATTCAACCAGAACACAATATACCTACTAACAAACATAATATGGTTAGTCAGAATATAGAGTTTGTAGCCTTTCTGAGTAGGAGAATACCCCAGATGTACTGGCTTTTCTACTCTGAAATCAAATTTGTCTGTGTTGGCACCTATTCTAGTTGCATAACATAAAGCAACCAAGAAACCTTAGGTGTTGAAGGTTAGGTTTCCTGCCATAGAACACTTCAAATGGAGATTTTTCAGACAATGCAGTAGAAGGAATTCTGTTAATAAGATATACAACACTCTGCACACATGGTCCCTAGAACCTTAAGGGAATGCTTCCTTGAAATCTTATTGATCTGGAAACTTGTAATATTTGCCTATGTTTCCTCTCCATCACTTCATTCTGCTGGGGTGTATGCACACAAGAACTATGGTGAATGATCCCTACTAAACTAAAAATATCACGACAATGAGTATTAAAAACTTTGTACCATTATCACTCCTGAAGACCTTGACCGCTCTACCAAACTAAGTTTTTATTAAAATCAGAAAATCCTTCATTACAATTGAGATATCACTTTTGACCTTAAACAAAAAAAATCCAAACCAGTCTACCATGATTATCTACTAGAGTTAAGAAATATCTATTCCCATCATAAGTGGGAACTCTATAAGGTCCCCATACATCACCATGTACTAAATCAAAAGAACATGCTGCTCTACTAGTGCTCTGTGGAAATGACAGCCTAATCTGTTTGGCAAGAGGGAACATTGAGCATGAGCTGCTGCTACTTTTTTTTATACTGCTTTACTATATACATCTACTGCAATATTTTGTGAGGGACATGTCCTAGTTTTTTGTGCCAAGTCTCCTCATCACTTCTCACATGTAATACTACTGAGTGAGACATATTGTTGCTATATTTGTGATCCCAGTAGTAAAGTTCATTGAGAAGTCTACCAGTCCCCTTCACCATACCAATGTGAAGGTCCTGCATGAGACAAAAATCAGGAAAAAATGTCATACAACAATTTAGTTCTTTAGTGAGCTTAGAGACTGGAAGAAGGTTGTATTTTAAACCATGCACACAAAGAACTCCTGAGATTTTCCCTTGGTTTAGTTTACATTTACTAACATAAGCTATTGGTAGCTGAGATTCATTTGGCAAGTGTACTGTCTGACTCACTATCAGGTGTATGCTTTTAAAACATCATCTTAGAACTAGAAACCATGTAATCAGTGGCTCCTGTATCAACTATCCATTCAGGATTAACACAAGTGACCATAAATGATCTAATGATACCTGCCATGTTGCCTGTTGAAGCTGAGAAGGTATTATTGTTAGTTAGCATTATGAGTAACTAGTTGTATTGTTCTAGTGTAAAAGGCATAGGTCCTGCTCCTCCTACTCCTGCATCTGGGCCAGTATGATGTCCTCTAGAGTTAGTGTTGATTCATCCTATTGTTACATTGTATGTATCAAAGTGAGTGTGGCCTTGAGGTTGAGTAGGGTAAGATGCTACAGAACCAGACGTGTTATTAGATCCACCAAAACAATTTGTCTCCTTAGGTTTACCATAATTCACAGCATTAGGTCCACCATAATTCACAACATTAGATCCACCATAGCTCACAACATTAGCCCCTTGCTTTCTCCTCACTTTAAAATTAGGTGGATAACCATTGAGCTGGTAGCAATTTTCGTTGTTGTGGCCTTTCATCTTACAATGCTCACACTGAACAACATTGTGGCTCCTGTCATTGTAGCTTCTCCTGATCTTTTGTTGTGAGTTCTTAGCAGTCCAAAGGCAATAATATCGTTTCCCTCTCCAGGACTAATGAGGCTCTGAGTAGAATTTGATCTCTGAGTCTCATCCTCTATGATCAAAGCCTAAGCCTAGTTCAAAGTAGGCTCAGTGGTCTTCATCAGTGTCTGTCTCCTTACTTGAGCATAGGAATCATTCAATCCTCCTAAAAATTGAATCAATCTCTATTCGTGAAGATACTCAACATAGTCTTTTGACTTCTTACATCCACAACTAGGAATAAGAGCCATAACATCAAATTCATCATAAAGTTCCTTCAATTTACTGAAGTAAACTGAAACAGAATCAATTCCTTACGAGATCGTTGCTATCGCACGATGCAACTGATAGATTCTCATATGATTGACCTTATCGAATCGCTCTTGTAGATCCTTCCAAACCAAATGTGCATTCAAAGCATAAACAACTCCACTCAACAAATGTGGAGATACCGTGTTCATGATCCAAGAGAGGACAATTGCATTGCATGTCTCCAAATCCTCATGCAATGTAGTAGGAAATGATTCCTTAACACATGCACCAGTAACAAACCCTAGCTTTCGCTTGGCTTGGAATGCAATTCTCATCGACCTTCTCTATAGCCCATAATTCTCGGATCCCTAAAGCTGAATCGGATTAAAACAGAGCTTGGAGTGTCTGATGGATGTACAAATAAAGAATGAGTATGATCGATTTTAATTGCCGCCATTGTTGTCGTCAAAGAATCCCCCATTGTTCGATCAAAATGAATGAGAAATAGAATTCGACCTAGCGACTAAGGAGAATGAGAAACAATTGACTTATAGTCACGAGAACGTGGAATGCGCGATCAATTTGCTGCCATAGCTCTGATAACATGTTGATATGCAACCATGGAAGCTTCTAGATCGAGAGAGAAGAGAGAAACAGAGAATAAGAAGAGAAGTTCATTTTTTTCACTATTTCTGGTATAAATTGTACACATACATTTATACAAAACCTAATTCCCACTAACTAACAACTAACTCACATAATTAACTGAAGTTATCACTAACTAATTGTCTAACTAACCCATATCATTATTCCTCTTAACAGGTTTACTTCTTTGGGAATGCTGACTCGAATGCTTTTACACGAGTACACGACTAAAGTTGAAAAAAGTTGCTTTGAAATGGGTGTAAGATTGGAACTTACTTATAATATTTGTACTGTTCTTCAATTATTATCAAAGGATGAAACTTACTTCTAATATTTCTTATTTTATTAATAAGAATGTAAGAAGATTATGTAGAAGCGAAAAAAAATTACTCACGGAAAGAAAATTACTACAAGAGAGAAGTAATCCTAGAAAATGTGTAGCTATAATTGTGGGATTGCAAAAGATATTATTTGAGAATGAATAAAGGAAGGAATTAGATACTTTAACTATGGCTAGAGCTTTATTTTATTCAATTAAATCTCATCCATGTGTTATAAATAGTTTGTACATTGGATGCTACATTGGATGCCCATGTTGTAAATAACATAGTTTGTACATTGGATGCTACATTGGATGCCCATGTTGTGAATAACTTAAAGATTAAATATCCTATTTTATGTCCATCATCTTTACTTTTTATGCCTATAAAAGGCTATATAATTGCAATGGAAAGATACACCAAAATGAAAGAAGAAAAGACTTCTTCCTTCTTTCCATCTCTTCTTATTTACATTTTACTGCATTGCTTTTATTTTATAACACGTTATCAGCACGAAGCTCTAATTTTATTCTTAACTTCCGCTAAGTTGAGCCATATTTTATTAAGGCATGTATCATTATAATCATTTTATTTATGGTAGTACATATCATATGCTCATTGTTTGCAGATTACTTGTGCTCTTGGGTATCTTAAATAGTTTAAGTACATTGCAGTGATAAAATAACTATTTCCTTCCGTGCTCAAATCTTAGAGGACCTCAAAGTCATCAAACTAGCTATGCATTAATGACATACTTATAATATTCATGGATTCCCTGGATCAAAACATATCTTTAAGGCATTTTGAAGAATTGTGAGAAATGAATTGACAAGCAATAATTTTATAGTTTAATTACTTTATATTTATTGGAACATATAAATAATGTTAGACACGTTCAATTCTATTAACACATCAACAACAACAACAACAACCCAGTATAATCCCACTTAGTAGGGTCTGGGGAGGGTAGTGTGTACGCAGACCTTACCACTACCCTAGGGTAGAGAGACTGTTTCCAAATAGACCCCCGGCATCCTTCCCTCCAAGAACTTCCCACCTTGCTCTTGGGGAGACTCGAACTCACAACCTCTCGGTTGGAAGTGGGGGTTGCTTACCATCAGACCTTACCCCTATTAACACATATATATCAATAATAAAAAGTGAAATGAAACAAGTATGTAATTTTTACTTTATGGCAAGAATAAAATGAAATAGTAGATTGTTA